TTACCATTAAAAAAATCTACATGCTGCCTGTCTTTGTGCCATCCAATGCTTTTTGACCCAATTGCAACAGTAGGCAAGTAACATTAGTCAGGGGGCCGCTATGAAAAAACCAGCAAGCTTCCTTGGACTTGTTTCTGTTAATGAGAATCCCGAGGCAGTTTTAATTCATAATTCAGACTGCAGTCACTGGTCTGGATTAAAACTTAACTTACTTCATGGACTGACGCTTTTAAACTGTACTTTGCAAAAGGCGGTTTACTGATGGGTTTGCGTTTATTTGCACCTGCAGCTCAGCTCTGACGGGAGCACAGCGATATAGCACATATGCACTTTGGCAATTATAGACAGGATTTGTAGTGGGTGGCCCCTGAATCTGAAATTTCTTGAAGTAAATCAAAAGGGAATCGCACCGAAGGTGAGTCAGTATGTCAAATCTGGCTTGGCGCAGATTCATGTAGGAGAGGCCTTCAGCAGCAGGCTGGAGCAGTAGGATGTGTGAAGTAAGAGTGTGATTTTTGCTCAAGGGCATGTTTTCTCGTGTCAAGTGAAAGTGCTGGGACCTCGGCTCCGGTGCAAACATCACCAGCCACGGGAATTGCATCCATGATGGAAGCCCATCCACGGGACAGCCCTCGCCCAGCCTGGAGCAAGCGCTCCAGCGGGGCTGCCGGCGTCCTGCTGCCTCTGCATGCCCTGCTGCTTCAGCTGCCGGAGCTGCAGAAGCGAGAATTAGACTAGTGTTGCAAAACCAAAACATCTCATCACAACAGATCAGACAACCCAGATCTGCTCTTTTTTGTGGAAGAAGAAAACCAGAAAAAGTACCCTTAACTGTAGGACTTTCCACTTCTGACTGCGGAGGTTTCATACTGAAGCGCGAGTGCAATAGCATGAGATGTTCATGGCCATGCAATGAGGGCAGAGTGTAGAGGCATTTGTGTCTTAATCAAATCAATCAACCCGTCTGCTGATGGGCATGCCAGAAAGATCCAGGACTCTGGAATGACATTCCTGTGCTCCTCAGTCCTATCAAGATGAACATCTTTTTCCTGGAAATGCCACATTTAGTTTCTAAACGTCCAGCTACAAGTAATAATGTCCACAATTAATTATGCCCTTATTGCAACAGCCTCAGAAATACAGACTTTAATTAAAATGTAAAAAACAGTAGTTAGATAACAGTGCAATTATTTACTACCATTTTTTTAAAATTTCTTATTCTGAAAACAATGTTTTAGTCGGAGCAGTCTCCCTGCAGTATGTCAGTAAGTGTCGATAAAATCTGATGGAGCTTTTCAGCCTTCTGCCTTTGCTGTACACACAGCATGCAGCAAACGACTTTGCTTTCTTAACAGCTTTGGAGACCCAATTTCAGACCGAGCTTCAGTGGTGTCTCTGTGTGTCTGCTTTTCTGCACAGGTGGGAAGATAAGGGGACAGTGTAGGATTAAGCTTCAATCTGAAGGAGAGAAGTGGGAGGAAGGGCAGAAATGTAATTGGTTTGTAGTCCCTTGTGCATGTGCTTGGGTGCATTTTGTCTAAAGAGGTGGTGTAGCCTCATTATATTTTTATGACTTTGTAATGAAGTCCTTCACTCTCAGAAAGTGCCCTGTTCTGATGAGCCAGCAGGCATCACCCATGGATATGTTAATTGTGTGAATGCTGTTGCACTGCCAGCCAGGTCACCCTGCTCAGTCCACTTCACTGTAAACGGCCCGACCCTGAGCTCACTGAAGGCAAAGGAGAGGCGTTTCCTCACCCCATGGGCCGCATGGCTCCTGTTCATCAATCACCGTGTTACATTTGCTCGGGGGGTGGGGATGGGACATCACCTGCATTTCCACAGGTTGGGTTTTATAACCTTTTGGCTCCAAGGCTCAAAGCAGCTCCCTGGTCTCCATCAAAGTGCAGCTTTTCAGGACTCTTCTACCTGTAAATACCAGCAATATGAGGACGACTCCTGGCAGCACTTTTTTTTCCCAATATCAGTTATTCAGCAACACAAGAGTTTTTCAATTTGGGATCGCCCTAGAAGATAGCAACACAAACTCACGAGAACACAGTCACACCACCGCCTCTGCCTCCTGCTCAGACAGCCCTACTCCCTTGGGGGTTAGAAGGATACCTTAAAGAGGAGAGCAAAGAAATGAAATCTTGATTAACTCTGACACCTTGTGGACAATTAGCAGATGAAGATGAAGGCCGAGGGGGAACCCCTCCGTGCTGTGGGCTCCACCATGGTCTCAGGCGTGCTGCAGCCCTTGCAGCCCAGCCCTCTGCTCGTCTGTATGCCTGGGCACAGTTTGCTGCAATCAGAAAGTGAAGGCTGAATTCTGGTATGGAGCGTGTGCACTCAGCATCACCCTCGCGGTACGGCAGGCATGTCCTGGACTCATCGGTTTACCCTAAATTGCTCCATTCAGAGGTCAGTTTGAGTCAGCAGCCTGAACTTGATTATTCTGATTGCTGACATTGCGGTCTGGTCCTTAGCTGTCACATGAAATGTAAATAAGGGCCAACTGTATCTAGAGACCTCAATAAGCAAACTGTTATGACTCATTGGAACTGAAGAACAGGCGTTCATTGGCCAGCATTTAAATATAAGCGCGTCCTTAAAGTAGAACACACTGCAAGTGTACCTAATCCTCCATGGTTTCAATGGCCATCCAGCACTCATGTTTTTGGAGAGGCGCCAGCCAGTCCGCCTAACCCTGACATCCAAAGGAAGGCAGCCAGTGACTGTGAAGGTGGCTCTTTAATGACTTCTTGGCAAAGTGGGAGGTCACCCGAAGGGAGAGGAGTTGGGTGCAGTGAGCAGTGCTCTTATGGGAGGCAAGGGCAGCAGACAGCCTGTCCAGCTAGAGGTCCAGGTGAACCAGGTGGAAAGAGATCGCAACCACCCTGAGCACCAGAAATTCACAGCAAGAAATGGGATCTAACCCAAATTTACCGCTCTGAGTGAACACCCCGGTGCTCAGCTCCATGCCCTGTCCACTGTCTCAGTGTCCTAAGGAGAACCAGAAAGGAGGCCTCCAATGTTGCTTCTCAGACCAGTGGAAATAAGGCCATGGGCCAGATGCATCTTTCCCCCTCGTTTCCAGCACCTTTTGAGCCCCCTTCCCTCCTCATGGACATGTTCTGGCCTTGTGACAGGAGCAAGGCTGTGGTGTCCTGGGATGGGGGCAGCTGGGGACACCCCACCACAGAGGGGAGCCTCTTGTCCCAGAGCTGCCTTGGGGCAAGGGTTACTGGGAGCGAACTGCAGACTGGAGGGATTGCCCCGGAGGGACAAAACCAGGCTGGGAGGTGTGCTCTGGGGTGCCTGGCGTCAGGGTACTCGTGCCATCTTTGTGAAGGAGCAGGATTAGATACAGGGTTTCTCAACCGCACCATTTCTTTGAAGTTTGGTGTAACTGAAGGATGTAGCCCAGTTGCTAAAGCTGAGGGTGGTTCAGGAGATAAACATGCAGATTTTTCTTTTTGAAGAGTGTGAGAAAATGAAAGACAAGTTTAAAAAGAAAAGCAAGAAATTTGGCAGCAGCATCTGTTTAGGGAGCTCGCAGGAGCCGTGGTTAAGTGGCCCTGCTCACCGTCAGCGTCAGCCAGAGCCACTGTACCCACGGTGAGGGTGGCCCGTGTCCCATGCTGGGACCTTGCTACGTCTGGGCATTTCTGGGGCCTGAGTTACAGCCCTTCCATAGCAGCCTTGAACAGTGCCTGTACGAACTGCCAAGTCCAAGTACCACAATGATTAGCAAGCTGAAAAAACAGCTATTTCTGTTCTTTGTCACTTGAGAGCTCTGAACACTGCTCTTTTTTTGTAACATGAAGGAAAAAAACCATTAGTAACAGGGTACGAGTTACTAATATCTACCTACAGAGACACTTTTTCTGGCAAATGGCCCTTGCCAGCGGTGCAGGAAATGAGTCAGAAGGAATGAATCAGTGTCTGCAACGCTACATGAAATAGGAAGCTGATATTCAATTTTAACCATTGTATTAGACACAGGAGGGAATCGCTGTAATGAGAATTATAACCCTATGGGGAAATACCCGATAAAACCAAACTCCTCCTGCCTGTGTTGCCTTACTGATGACAAGTCCCAGTTACAAAAGCTGACAAAAAAAAAGATGGCCCAACAAATTCAACGTGTGACATTTCGCTATCCCTACTCATCTGAATCAAAGGAGAGCCAGAAATTGGAACCATCTAAAAATAAAATTATCTGATGGAAAAAAGTGTTCAACAGAGGCTGCTAGGGTGATAAGAAATGGAAGTTGGTGACCTGATTAGGTCTCTGCTTGTTACATTAGCTTAAATACATGGCAGCACACTTCAAGAGCACTGGCTGCACTTACAACAGTCAAACTTCTCAAGCCCATCCCCTGCTACCCTTTTCCATGTGGTCTGTCCTCATCATGCCAGAGAAGGAGTGTCCATGAGGTCCACTGATGGGGTCAGGAGACATGCCACCCACGCAATGCCTAGCATACAACTTAACAGCAGGTATGATTCAGTGGCTGGCACCCACGTTTTGATCGCTGAGCCATGTGGTTGCTCACATGCAGAAGGTGGGCTATGGCACACCTTTCTTCCATGTATTCCTACCCTGCTACCCAGACACCAAACCCCAGATGGCCTTGAGCTGCCAAAAGGACAGGCAGCTTCTCCTGCTCCTCTATTAGCAGTATGGCGCAGCTTCACCCCTGCTTATGGCACCCGGACAGCCCAGCAAGGGGGCTGCCACAACAGGATTGGTCCCCCACCTCTGCCTGAAAAGTGGGAGACCTCTGAAAGGGCAGCTTTGAAGAAGATAGCAGGATGTTTTGTACAGAAGACATTTCCAAACCTCTACTTTGTACTGAGTAGTCAGATAGGAAATGCAAATGTGAATAGCGACAACTCTTGCACTGCCTTTGCCTTTACAGCCCCTGTTTTTGTTCTCTACAGGAATGAACCACCCACCCTATACCACGACAGATGTTTCCAGCAGCCCAGTCATGACACAGAGCAACCAGACCTGCTCCAGTCACAATATAACATTCAAAAACAGCCTGTACGCAACCACTTACACCATCATATTCATCCCCGGCCTCCTGGCAAACAGCACTGCCTTATGGGTCCTGTGCCGCCTCATCAGCAAGAAGAACAAAGCCGTCATTTTCATGATCAACCTGGCCATGGCCGACCTGGCTCACGTCCTCTCACTGCCACTGCGAATATACTATTATATTAACTCCACTTGGCCTTTTGGGAGATTCCTTTGCTTATGGTGTTTCTACCTGAAGTACCTCAACATGTACGCCAGCATTTGTTTCCTCACCTGCATCAGCATTCAGAGGTATTTCTTCCTGTATCAGCCGTTCAAAGCCAAGGACTGGAAGCGGCGGTATGACGTAGCCATCAGCAGCATGGTGTGGCTCGTCGTTGGGGTGGCGTGCTTGCCGTTCCCCATCATGCGCAGCTACAGCATGTCCAATAATACCACGAATACCACCAATACCTGCTTTGCAGACCTCCAAGTCCGGCAGATCGACAGCAAGGCGGCCACCGTGCTGATGACAGGCACGGCAGAGCTCTTTGGGTTCATCGGCCCACTCATCATTATTTTATTCTGTACTTGGAAAACAAAAGACTCTCTTCGGGGCTTCCAGATACCGCTGCAAAACAGCAGCGAGAGGCGGAAGGCTTTAAGGATGGTTTCCATGTGTGCCATCGTGTTCTGCGTGTGTTTCGCACCATACCACATCAACTTCTTTTTCTACATGTTGGTGAAAGAAAAAGTCATTACAGACTGCTTCGTGAGTGCCATCACGCTCTACACCCAGCCCTTTTGCTTAAGTCTTGCGAGTCTGGACTGCTGTTTGGATCCGATCCTGTATTTCTTTACAACTTCGGAGTTTCAGGACCAGATATCAAGGCACAGCAGCATGATCATCAGGAGTCGGCTCATGAGCAAAGAGAGTGCCTCATCAATTAAGGAATGACAAGAAACCCAACTTAAAAGAATGAAGATATTTCATATGAAATCTGGGACTGTTCTGTGATACTCGATTACCAACTCCAGGCGGAAGATCCTGCAAGTTTATTCAGGGGAGTTTTGTGGCAGTGGAAATCTTTCGACATATAGAAGATAAAACTTAGTTTAAGACCGATGTGTTGGGAACTGATGAGCCACCCAACTGGCGTGACGACACCTACCGCTGCGCCACCCACGCCTGACCTAGCTGGACTAGAAAATATACAGGAGGGAGCAACAAAACTTTTGCTAGGAATTGGTGGAAACATCCCAGGAGCTTTTCATCTGTTTTCCCAACTCCTGGCTCTATGATCAAGCCAAAGACAACCCCACATCCATACACTGACATCCGCTGAAGTGTCTTCTCTGCTAAAAACACACAACAACATACAAAACCTGAAAATGCCTAGTAACAATAAATGGCAGTTTTGGTCTCCACACTTGGGGCTGCAGGCGTGTGAAGGCTGGCAGCTTGCTTCAGCACAGCAGCCCCGGCTTTGAGTGCATCCCACTGCTCACCACACTTACCTCTGCTTCACCTTCCCCGCGCGCTCCCTTCCGATCTCATTCGTTATTTCCTCCTCACCCAACTCGAAGTTTATTCCTTAATTGCTGACGCATCCCATAACTTGCACCTACAACTGGTGCAAGACGCTCTGCAGGACAAATTCTCCCGACGGCTCCTCGAACACTCCTGAAAGTGGGACCTTCCCTTGCTCCGAGTGACTTTCTTCCCCTCCGAGCTGCCCCCAGGGGTAAGGGGGGCATCAGCACGAGGCCTTTGTCTTTGGACCCCGAGGGGCAGGACCACCGGGAGCGTGCCATGGGTTGGGCGCAGCCGGACTCAGTATTGGCGCAGGTGGATTTGATGATGCTTTTGGTACCGTTCAGGTCCTCGCTTTCTTCTGCATGTGGCTTCTTCACCTCAGAGGTACCTGCAACGGATCCACCCCATGAAATCTCTGCTCAATAGGTTCAATTGGCACAGCTTTTTAAAAAGAGAGGTGTCCTTGTGAAGGTGATTCCACTAATTGAGCATAGGCTAATTTCTTAAGTAAATCATTCATTGTGATTTTTTACACCAGCTCCTCTCATGATCATAATGTTTACATTTTTATAACTTCATCAGCTGTGAAGATATGAAAAGCAGTGACAAGAAAGGATGCCATTTTACCCCTTATTTTAAATTAGCAACAGCTCTTCGGCCAAGTTCACCCACTTTGTGTAGCTTCAAGGGTATCCTCATGATACCTGGGGACTGGTTTGGCTGAACACAGGCACTGATTTACTGCTTTTGAACACCTGTGTTTTTTCAAAGGGAATGTGCACAATTCCTAATAAGCACCAGTGCCAGCATCTTACACGTTGCTACAAAAATAGAAGTACCAGAAAGACTTGCTAAGTATATTTTAAATCTAACTACTCAATTCCACTTAATTACATTTTAACTCAGCCAAAAATTTTCTGCATATTATGTTTTTCCACTTGACTGTTTTACAATAAAATGGGAAAAAGCAAACAATAGCCATGTTTAAATAACCATTACACTGGAGTTCCTCTGAAAGGCTTACTGAATAAATACAATAGGCTCTTGTAGGTCTCCTCCCATTTGTGAGGAGATGATTATGGGCCACAGTACGATGAACTTAATCTTACACATAGATAAGTGAAAACACCAAAATATGACTATCTGAAGGAAGTAACTCTTACAGAGGGAGTATTATTGCAGGCTTCTGGTGAGAAAGCTGCAGAGTAGGCAAACAGCCCATCTCCCACTGAAGTCAAGGGAAACGTTTTCTCCGATTTACCCGGCAGTTCATTATGCCAATGACAGGGACATGTGTTTACACACTGCAAGTGGTCCCCTTAAAAACGTGAGCAGAGGTTGATGCTCAGGTACACAGTTAAGCCTGCATCGTGAATTTTTTGTCAATTCAGCAGTTTTCTCATAAGCTAGACACTGTATAATATTGTCAGTGAAGGAGACTTTAGTTTCAACGCTTGTTTTGAGGATTTTTGTGGACCTTGATCAGCTAGCATGTGTCTGGGAGCTGTTTACTGTGATTTCTCTCATAGAATTCTCCATTTATCAGGTGAAAACAAGCTGAAGGCACTGTTATGGTAATTATGTAGCTTGTCCTACATTTTTATTTCCAAAAAAATTGATGCTTAAAAAATAAACGCATTTTTGCAAACATAAGCTGAGTTTCATAGTTATCACTTATACCTAGAAAACTGAATGGGATCAGCTCCTCCTTGAATCAAAGAGTTCAAGTGATGGAGCACATCAACTTCTGTTATTCTTAAGCAGATTGCTTGCTTGTCTACAGAAAGGTTTTCACCCCGTTCTAATATGACTGTTCATTTGTTGGGTTTTTTTACACTACAACACTTACGTTGGATTTAGAGGTATTTTGGGGAGAGAAAGGTCCTCTGTGGGAATAGCTGTGCTGTGAGTGGTGCGTGACTGAATGAGGAGGAGCTATCGCTATCATCCTTACATGCAGACAAGACCACAGAAACCATCTCTCTATATCTCATCCAACAGTCATTTTGCAGATCCAAATCTATACGGCTTAAAAAAGCACTCACATTATCTATGATGAGATTGGTAAAGCAGAAATTGGTATTTATTGTCCCACAAGTACTGAAAGTTATAATGTGGACCCGGCAGGGGAATACCTGCTCCAGCACCTGAATGTCCAAAGAGTGATGGTGGCTCTCCCACCCTTAACCTTAACGAGGAATTTGGTGGCTCCATGAGGGGTAACATTCCCCGTCACCACGATGGCATCCCCAAGAACTCGCTGCTCACAATCTCCCCCCACCTTCCTGTCTCACTCCCCCCTGAACTCCCTTAGACCCCCCAAAATGGTCTTTCACATACTCAGCCCTAGCCTGTCAGGAGAAGTCACACGCCCAACACTTTCAGCCTTTCAAGTCACACCACTTTGATGTGCAGGAGCTTAGACAACTTGGTCTAATGGTCTCTTCTGGTGTGTGGGAAAGCATACTGGTTTTGGCTGGGATAGAGTGAGATCAGCTGTGTGGTGCTTAGTTGCCGGATGGGGTTAAACCACAACAGAAAGTTAGCCAAGATGGTCATGATGGTGAGCTAGCCTAGAGAGCAACAAAGTAAAAGAGATCAAGGAAAACCTGTAATTTTCTGAAAGCACGTAGAAAGTCAAAGACCGTCAGTTTGGCCTCCACAAAGCCATATGTGAAACTCAAAGCCTTTAGTTCAAGTCTTCCAAAACCTCAGCAGTGCCTCTCAAGAGATGAACAGACAAATCCAGCGTTACTGTCAAGGAGGACATTATTTTGGCTGCCTTCATGGCTGGGAGGTGCGGGATCCGACACAAGACCTGGGGCTGCAGGTGCTGCCTTTGCCTGCCAGTGCTCTCACACTTTCAAAGGCACAACGTGCCCAGCTCCGGTTCCTGTAATTCACCCCCTTTCCTGTGACCATAAACCATGTTTATTATTTTGACGAGAGGAAATATAATTTCATTATGTTGCTCCTGGATTATCTCTTGTGCTGGCCCCACTGCCCAGACTCACCAGCTATAGAAAGAAGACATCTTCATCCTTCTTGGGCAGACACACAAAAAAAGCCTTTCAACAGAGATGCCACGGAAAGGCAGAAGTTACCTGAATCAAGAGGCTGGGTACAGCTACGCAGGTTTGTGAAGGATGGATCTGAAGGGCTCCACTGGCACCTGGTGCTGGAGCAACCCTGCATTAAGCCTCACCCCAAAGGGAACC